CCTTACCTTACCTTACCTTACCTTACCTTACCTTACCTTACCTTACCTTACCTTACCTTACCTTACCTTACCTTACCTTACCTTACCTTACGTTATGTTACGTTACGTTACGTTACGTTATGTTATTTTATTTTATGTTATTTTATGTTATTTTTTATCTTTTTGTTTGCAGGAGACGAAACCATTATTCTGACCTACAAAAACAGACAAGCAAAGTAGAAAAGCAGGAAGGAAGGAAGGAAGGACGGAAGGAAGGAAGAAAACACGCTGCATGTTTTCATGCGCTATGACGTCATCCAGCCAACACCAAGGCAAATTGAGACTTACAGATATCACATACTGACTGCCATTCCTCAGATCCGTCTCCACACTGGCTGACACGAATGGATAGATTTTCAGCTCCTTGGTCAGTTTGGCGGCTGTATTGGTGATGTCAATGTTATCGAGGTCACATGTTCTTGTAATCAGACAGTCAAGGTTGTACTTTCTTAAAAGATGCTTTAGAGGCTTACTTCCACGGCGGTTCTTTGTTTCTTCATCCACACATGATTCAAAGTATTTGAAGGCCTTGTTCACTGCTTGTACCTAGAGATATTTGATGGRAGTTTGAATTCATGATGACAAGATCATGATCATGAAACAACATATCACCGATCAAAAATGCAAGCTAGCAAATGTGAAAAAAAAAACTAGAAAAGTCATAAATTCAAGCAAAGGCAAGCAAATAAGTGAGTGATTGAATAAATTATAAATGGAAGAACAAATTAATTATAATGAATAAGTGCTTGAATGATCAAATAATAAGCCAGTTCCTAATTTAAGAATCGTTTCCAGTGCGCATGCGATTTTATTAAATTATTAAAGAAAATTTAAACAAAAGAAAATGAGAAATGTCGGGATAAAATCGGATGCGCACTGGAAATGATTCTCAGACTACGAACTGGCTCATTGGATGAGGAAAATGAACAAGCAAACAAACAAAATATTTTTTTAAAAGGAGCAAACTAATTATCCCAAAAGATGAGCACTGAAAAGAAAACCATCAATCACCTAATTACCTTAGCGTATTTCTTTCGTTTTTCTTTGCTCTTGATCACATCATGTAGAAATTTCTCATTTTCATCTTCAAGCTCACTAAATCGATTCCACGTCATATGAAGTGAGTTAAACGATTTGCTTAGATTATTGTGTTCGATCCATTTGCCACATGCGTACTGATAGAAATCTTTACATGGATCCACAGTAGGGTTGATAGAGCTCAAAAGGTCTTGAAGTAAAAAATAGTAATTTGAGTACCATCTTCATTACCTCGCCCTTATTTCGGCCATTCTTTCATTCATCGGACATTAGCTAGCTCTGCCCTATTTTTTCTCTAGATTTATTGTACACAAACTTCCATAACGCTTGGTAAATAGAATTGAATCGCGGTATGCGCATGCGCCCGTACCGCGAAAAAACAAAACTTGGGTAGTAGAAAAATTCTCATAATTATGATGAATTGTTTATGAATTTATATAGCGCCTTTTCTATATGAATATAATCAAAGGCGCTTTACATTGAGTTGTTAATGACAGATTACGTTTTGTGCAATTTACAAGCATGAGAGATGGTTAGTATGAACTGTAGGCACTTTTACGTTCTTCCGTTGTTGGTTAATAATGATGAGTGTGGAGAGACGGGACCGCCATTTAAAGTGGACATTCGAGCCACTTGAAAGTCTAACCATTTGCAGATGTAATTACAAAGGCAGCACTTTCTCCTCAGTTATTTAAGACCCTGAGTGTCGACCTTCCGCACGAAAGTCCGATGCTCAACCAACTGAGCCAACCGATTTCATATGAAAATCTTTAGTTTTAGCGTTTTATTACAAACATTAGAAGCATTCTACATACAATAAAAACAAACCTTAGGCATGATATAATAAATTAAGATGCATTTATTCCCCTATAGGTAACCTTTAATAAATAAGATAATTCTCTGTGCTTTTGTAGTTGATTTTGGATTTTTTTCCCCTTTGTTTCTTACATGGAAGGCCGTGAAGTGGGATAACATTACATTCAAGCGCAATGGGTCTATTTTGTTCTGTTTCAATAAGCTAAGAAAATGCTAAATACCTAAGTTGACAGCTATAAATATAAGGTAATTCAGGTCAATGCTAAGAGGTGAAGTCAGACTTCACGTAACGTCACTGCAAGTCTAGAAATCCAAAACATCATAACATTTGCGGATTGTTAACTGATCATACATTCAATGTACGAGTAACTAATAACCAACCTGTGGCTGTCTGTAAGCAACCAGGCGTCCAGCACGAGGCAGATTTTGTCTTGGACAATTTGGAATTTGCTTCTATAACTTGTCCATCATCGTAATGTTTCGTGACACAACGCGTTATAGCAAGCCCCAAAGACATGAACACTATAACTGCACATCCATGCATTAATATTTTATAATACACGCTATGTCTGAAGAATCTTGTGGAAGAAGCCTTAAGTTCTAGCATCTCTGTTGCTTTAGTACACGCGTACGTGCGTAAGAACTAGACGACGACTGAACCGCTTGTAGAGGTCATTACAATATTATAGGTCGTTAGATGCGATTAAATTTCAATAATCGTTACACGATCGAATCTCGATCTTAGCATATGAGTTCTGCATATGTCAAAGCATCTTGTCCTACCAGAAAGATTACTGAGGGAAGCAGCTTCCCTAAGCGTTACACGAACACACTGGAACTTAGAGATGATATTAGTAAGATGAAAAGAAAGCTAAGGCTGCGTTCATAATGTACGGCAGAGAGGGGGGCAGGCGAAAATTTGAAATGCCCAGAATAATTCTTAGCACCCCCCTTAGAGCCATGCAAAAAAATACGATCCCCCCTAAGCAAGGCTTGTAGCTTCTTCCAAAAAATGTGCTTCCCCTCCCCCCCCCCTCATTTTTCTAAAAAAGATTTGCCCATCCCCCCTTTTTTCCTACCAAAATTTTCCCGATCCCCCTTCAATTTCACCTGACCCCCTCAATGCAGCCTAAGGGATGGACCATCGAATAATTGAGGGGTGTTGCAGGGATTTATGTTGCTCGATATTTTTTATCTACTCACCCCACCAGCACCACCACTCTTCATTTATCTAATGGTCCGCCTCTAAGGTTGTGACCGCGACAAAAATTCGATTAAACTGATGAACAAAGTAAGGAAAACAAAGAAAGTGATATGTAAAAAGATAATTTAAAATATTTAATTGCCAAAAAGAAAGACTAAGGAATTAAAGGGAAAGGAAGGAAGGAAGGAAGGAA